TTTTTAAAATTTCCTTATTCTGAAAAGCTTTTAGCATACTTTAGCTATTCATCTATTGATGCATGTGTCTCTTACTCTGATAGTGGTGTCGTGGTAGGACTGTGACAGATAAAAAGGAGTGGTCATAGCATCTCATGAGTGCAGGGAAGAAGAGAAAAAGGTAGAGGATGCTGAGGTTTCCTCCCACCCTAATCATTTGACCTTCCTATCTCTGCCAGGAACAAAGGTGTTTGTGATGCCCAATGGGATGCTAAAAAGCAACCAGCAGCTGGTGGACATAATTGAGAAAGTGAAACCTGAGATCCGGCTGCTGATTGAGAAATGTAACACGGTAAGGCTGGGGCTAGTGACCTGTGGGCTGGCCTTAAATAGTTCCACTTGAACTGTGAAAACTGATGGATGCAGGGTTGGAGGCATGTGTAGGGGTTGGCAGACTAGGTAATCCTGAGTCCTGTGTCCCTAGCATCTAGCTCCAGCATCATGAATCATGGGCTTCAGGGTTTCAGCAGAAAAGGCCAAAGTCGTCATATGTATGTTTTGATCTCGCAATTTCCAGGTCAAAATGTGGGTACAGCTCCTGATTCCCAGGATAGAAGATGGGAACAACTTTGGTGTGTCCATTCAGGTAAGATGCTTATATTACAAGGTTGGGGAGATACGTCATCTCCCCTGTTTTATCTATTTTCTCTTTGGGATTGCTGTATAGTAACATGGAAGTGGCTTTTGACTCACTTATTTTTGTTTGCTTTTTCCCAGGAGGAGACAGTTGCAGAATTAAGAACTGTTGAGAGTGAAGCTGCATCTTATCTGGACCAGATTTCTAGGTAGGGCTGCTTATGCTTGGCCCAATAACTCGCGGTTGTGAGGTGGTAGGCACTATTCAGGATCTCCTGCAGCTTCTTCCTCTTCTTTCTCCTTCCAGATATTATATTACAAGAGCCAAATTGGTTTCTAAAATAGCTAAATATCCCCATGTGGTAAGTGTTTGTGGCCAAAGGGTGGAGGTGGCAGGATAAGGAGGAGTGACATTACTGGGAATGAGCTATCTGAACAGTCAGATCTTGGGGACTAGCCTTTTTCTCTGCCTGTCCTCATAGGAGGACTATCGCCGCACCGTGACAGAGATTGATGAGAAAGAATACATCAGTCTTCGGCTTATCATATCAGAGCTGAGGAATCAATATGTGAGTAACTTTGGTTCTTGCCTGAAGTTGCCTTGATTTCTACTTCTTTTGAGAATTTTCTTAAAACTTTCTGAGGGTTGGTGGTAAAATAAATAAAACAGCCAGATGCAGTAGCATGTGCATGTAATCCGAGCCACTCAGGACTCTTGAGGCAGGAGAATGGTGAGTTGAAGGATAGCCTAAATAACAGTAAGACCCCATCTCAGAACAAAAAACAAAACTGTAGAACAAATTCTTCTCATGAAGGGGTGCTGGGAACATGAAATCATTGAGGGGGGTCTACCTGGGTATCTCCTTTCTATCTAGGTGGGTGTGTATATGAAATATAGTGGTAATGGTTAGATATGAGTCTTAGAGTCAGAAAGACCTAGGTTTAGGACCAAATTCCATTTATGATATGTGACTTCTGTCTTGTTCAAGCTTGATTTCAGTTTCTTAATCTCTAAAAGGGGATTTAATATCTACTGTACAAAAATAAGTTGTTAAAATAAGGGGTATCGTACATTTAGACTCTGGGGCAATGCTCAGTCAGGCCCACTTGAATGATTTAAGAGAGGTAGTACAGCCAATCTGAATGCAGTTTCAGTGAGTGGGACTGGGATGACATGAATGATAGCTTGGGGATTTGTGGCAGTATTTCATTTTCTTGGTAAGGGTTGAACAGATGTGTGATTCCCTGATCCCTCTTCTCCCAGGTCACTCTACATGACATGATCCTGAAAAATATCGAGAAGATCAAACGGCCCCGGAGTAGCAATGCAGAGACACTGTACTGAGGCCAGGGCCAGGGCCAGGGGACTCTGTGAGTCTGGCTCAAGACCGACATTGCCTTGGTTTGTTACATGACTATCGTGATGGGGAAACTGGCTGGAAATAGTAATCACACCTCTCTGTTTTTAGTTAGAGTCTAATGAAACTCTCATCTAGTTCCGTGATGTGTTTACCTCTTTTTTCAGGCCTCAGGAACTCTTCTGTCCTTCCCTAGTACCCTACACCCAGCTTGTCCTAATTTCTGGAGAACTCCCAGGTTTGTGCTTACAGGATATTGGCACAAGAACACTTGTGTTTTCTCTCTCCCCTTTCGCACTCTGCTTGTCAGACTTTGTGTTCTCTTCCTTTTGATTGATTGGTTAGAAGCTAAGGGAACTATAGGGAGAATGCTAGGTGGTTTTTAGGAACTGAAGTGTGTGTGTGTGGGGGAACCATCTCCTCTCTTCTTGTTGTAAGGCTAGATGGTGTGTCTTGCATCTGTGGGACATTGAATTCTCCCTGCCACAGTTGCCCTGGTGATAACTTAGAGTTTCCCTTTTATTCACATCCCACCTTGAACCTAATCGTGACAAACAACATCTTAGGCCTTCAATATCCTTAACACCCTCAGATGTTTTATAACTGGGGGTTTCACATACACATGTATATGCGTGTTGTACACACACATACGGATTTGCACACACACCTTCTTACTCCAATACCTTGCATACCTTCTTCTTCCTCTGTAGTCCCTTTCACATACACCCCTTTCAGGAGGTGATAGTTGTCATATACCCAGGGAAAAGTCCTGGAGCCATCCTCCCTCCTGATATTGTTGCTGCTTGGTGCCCAGGGTGAGTTGGAGGAGAACTGAGAGTGGAGATCAAAGGGCTGAGTTAGGCCTGTTCTCTGACTTGGTCCTTCTGGTGTTATGAAATGGCTGGTCCTTTGACTCCTGATTGCCTTTTCCCAGGCCAGTTGTACATTGGGGTGGGGTGTCTGCAACTGTGAGGTCTAGACGCTGCTGCTCCTTTGGGAAATATTTCTCTTATTTATAGTATTGTGCTTCTGGGGAAAGCAGCCATTTGTGTGTATATGTGTGTGTGTGTGCACATACATATGATGTATATATGTGTGCGTGTGGGAATACGCCAGGCAAGTCAAAACCATAGAAGAGTCAGTTGCCTCTCTTGAACCTTCCAGAGATATCATTTATTGTTACAGCTTTTTTGTTAACCCCCGTTTCCCCCCAGCTTTTATTTTCCTGCTAATGAGAGTTGATATCTGTGTAGTCTGCCAGTGACTCTCAGTGTCTATTTCTGAATTTTATTCTTCCCTGTCTCTGTCTTCCAACCCCAATCATATCCATCTGGGATGCATCATTTTTACTCCCAGTATTCTGTAGAAAAGGAGCCGGGATGCTGTCTTCCCATGAATAGTGTTCAGTAACAAACCAATTGCATTTTAGTTGGGCAGTGCCCTTACCTACCTGTACCCCCGCATCCTTTCCAACTAAAACCCTTCCCTCCTCCCACCATGTGTTTCTCAGTTTCCCTTTTTGTTCAATTGTTCTGCTGCCTCCTCACCTTACTACCCTTGGATTGTAATGTAAAATTCTTTTACCATGTCAAGAAATTATTAAAAATACAGGTACTTTGACCTCTTTCTAAAGCTGGAGACCCTGGTGCCATGCTCTATTGGCAAGGGACATACTGGTTCATGCATGCATATTCAGACACCTGCCTCCACAGACACCTCTAGCCATGCTATTATGTGTCCTTTTGCCAACTGAGCTGCCTCTTTTTCTAGGTTAGTGGAAAGACTGAGACATGCACACCAAGAGGGACGGGTGGATCCTTCTTTTGTGTTCATTTTGAAATTATGTGAAAGTTAGCTCTTCCCAAACCTTAGCTGCCTTTTGTCCTACCTGCACAAGATCCCAGTTCCTTCCTTCCCATGAGCTGCCAGTAGAGGCTGCTATAGTTCCATGTGGGGAATGATGTGGTCAAGGAATATCCTTCTCAGTCAGACTTTTTCTTTACCTTATATTAATTCTCCTCTCTGAATAATGTCTTAAATTGTTGAGGAGATTCTGGTCTTGGTTTTAAACTTACTTGGAGGGCTGCTTAGGACTCTTATTTCCCTCTGAAATAAAGTTTCCTCATCTTGCAAGTAGCTTTATGGTTTCCAGTGATCCCATTGTTTCTGTAAAGAGTTTTAAGGTCTTAAACAATGAAAGTACATCTACTCTATTCTCTTTCACAGATTAGTACCAATAGCTAGCAGTTTTTTGACTATCTACCCTGTGTTGGGTTGGTAAGCACTTGATGTGCATGATCACATTTAATCTTCAAGAATCTATTGGGTAGTTTTATGCCTTCTGTATGCCTTCTGTATAGATGAGGACTCAGAATTTAAAGACTTAAATTCTGTCCCCTAAGATCACATAGCTTAGGAAGCTGGAATCTGAATACAAAGGCCAGGCCCTCAACCTCTCCTCCTTTCTCACTGATTAGATAGAAGAAGCCTGAGGCTAAATCAGGGGATTGCCATTAGGTCACAGGCAGAACTGAGTGCTTACTGCTGAACGGGGCAGTATATTCTGGAGCTACTGGGGTATAGTGCAGTCTAGTGCCTGGCAGAAAGTTAAAAAAAAAAAAATGGTTTAGTTGCCTATATGTGTGATATGCAGAACTGAATTAGGCACCAGAGATTTGCTTTCTTCTCAGACCTATTCTGGGTGGAAGGTGAAGTTTCATATCATTAGTCCAGATACATTTTCAACTGGTCTAAGTGATGGGAATCAGTGGTTGATACTGACTGCTACTAGTAGGAGTTCAGGGACAAGGAAAAAGCCAAACCACAGGGCAGAAAATTGGAACAAAATTATGCAAATCAAGTTAGACATTTCCTGTCCAACCCACAGGGTGGAGTTTTCTCCATTCGTATCCATCCTACTGAATATAAACACTGACTTGATGTCAGGAACTGGAAGGAGCTGCTAGCAGGATTCTGATTTTAGTTTTCAGCATCTACCATGAAGCTCAAGGTGGTTCTGGTATTCCTGGTGCTGTCCCTTGTTACCATCTTCACTCTGGCCTACATCTTGTTGACCAGGCAAGGTGGTTCCAGCCAGCATCCTCGCTGTCCCTCCGTATATCCCAGTGCCCAGCCCTGGACATACCCTGCCCAGAGCCAGCTGTTTGCAGACCTGAGCCCAGAGGAGCTGACAGCTGTGATGAGTTTTCTGGCCCAGAAGCTGGGGCCAGGGCTGGTGGATGCAGCCCAGGCTCGCTCCTCAGACAACTGTGTCTTCTCAGTGGAGCTGCAGCTGCCCCCCAAGGCTGCAGCCTTGACCCACTTGGACAGAGGGGGCCCGCCACCTGCCCGA